TCTTCTTAGTATAAAAGGATGCTAGAGGATCCTCTATTGTGTTTTCCTAACAAATTTTATTGTCTGTCTTGGGATAGAGAGGTTCTTTTTCTATTCTAGTTTCTATATTAGGTAGCTTTGAGTTTTTGTTATGTCAGCTATTTGATTTTCTTTATTGTTTTCTTTAGACAAGAGATTGGAGATTTCTGATACTATCTCTATTTGGGTTTCTACTTCCCCCTTTTTATCTGCCACTATGTTATTTTCATCCTCAATTTTTGTTGTTGTATTAACCATCATCACATTCTTGGATTCTTCATTATATGGGTTTTCGATACTTAGAGCTAGTTGAGGTTGCCTCTAAATTCGTGCTTGTTTCCGTTCTTGTGCTCTTTGCAATTTTTTTTCTTTCTGTATTTCTCTTAATTCGATTGATGCTTGGTATTCTTGGCATTCCTTTTTGATGTGACCTGTTTTGTCACAGAAGTAGCACACCTTTGGGGCTTTTTTCCAGTCAGTTGTAACTTTCTGGTCCCAAATATGTGTAAACCTGGGTAATCTTAATGTCAAGTTTGGGTCATCTGTTGTTTCGAAAATTACTACCCATTGGTCTGTAAGCACTGACATTCCCTTGTACACCAGTGGTTTGATAGAGGAGATATTGCCAATATCTTCAAAAGCTTCTTTGATTTTCTCTGAAATAAAATCTTTTCTGCCCATAAGTGTGTTTTAAAGTTGTATTGATAGAAAACTTCTTCTAATGTTTACTAGAATGTACCCCTGGAGAGTTTGTTTAAAAATTACAAGACCTTCTGCAGTATATAACTGCTGCTTTTCTTCATCTGTAAAGATAACTTCTAGGTGCATTCTTCGGTTTTTGGTAAAGATTGGTTTTGCTACAATAAGGTTTTTACTAACTACATTTGCAATTGCTTCTACAATGTTTGTAGTGAAGATATTTTCTAAGCTGTGTAGTTCAAAAATTAGTGCATTCCTATTTTTAATATGAATTCTTTTTCTTGAAGCATAGGTTGAGAAGGTGGCTTTGCCTCTTTCGAGTTTAGAGAACAAACTTGACTATTGTTTTGGTTCTGCCTATCTGTTGGCACTATTTGATTGGATGTTCACGTGTTTGTCTACGTGTTTATTGTTGTTGGCCTTATCGGTTACATGTGCTGTTTGTTTTGTTGAGACTTGAAACATGTTGTTTGTTTGAGTAAACCAGCTGTTTTCTTCTGCCACCATTGTTTGCTCAACTCCTTCTCTGGTATTTGTAATTGTATCTTCCTTTATATTATTGCTACTGGCAATATTAGTTGTACTGCCTGAGTTTTGCCTACTGTTTAGAGCAGCTCCTTGTTCTCTGCATCTGTAAAGCTTGTTTTCCAGATTTCAGTCAAGTTTTCTTCTTCTTCGGTAGCTGAAGTTTTTGCTTTTTTACTTTTTTGGTTGAGTTCTTGTTCGTCTACACTAGACTTTTCTATACTATCTTGCTTACATTTCTTGTATATGTGGGCCTTAGCCCCCTAAAGTACTTTTTTTTGGATAGAAAGAGGCGAGTTTTGTGTGGTAATTTTGTTGTCGACGGAGTTTCAGTTAGGAACTGAAGAGAGTTTTTTTGACATTTATTTTTCATTTCACCAACAGTTTATTTCACTAAAACTTATTTCACTAACAAATTAATTCTGATCATTGTTGTTAAAGCCAAATTAGTAAGTCATCCTTAGTAATTAACATTAAGAATTGGAAATATCTGTTATGAAATTGTTTATAAAATATATAAGTGGGTTTTAATAGGTTTAATAAATTAAATATAGACTCTATTCTTAGTATCAATTATGTTATTAATTTATTTATTTATTTATCATATTTCTAATTTGTTTTAGTTGAATACAATGTTGAATAGTTTGTAGAGTTCATCTACACCAATAATAAGAATCAACTTAAAAGGTGATTTGGAAGAATTGAGACCATTATCTCAATCCTTACTGCCATCCAACCTTAAACATCAAAATGATCTAATGCAAGACACTTTAAAAATATTGAGATTTTTAAGACATAACAAGTTGGAAATTCATTGCAGTCAGAATAGAAGTTGATGAGGGCACAAAGAGCTTTGGATAGTAGAAGAAGATTACCAAATTATTTCTCTTAACTATATATTAAGATCTATTTCAATATGGTTTAAAGAAGTTTCCCAACCTGTATCTTATGATTTTCATGTATCTGAAATTCTATATCAGGACTCTGCTAAGAAGCAAATTCATATTTGACTAGTGAAGTTTCGCTATTGCCATCCTTCTGAATATGTTATTATACCAAATCAACTATTCTTTTATAATATGAAATCATTCAAGTTCAGGTAGTTAACATTTATAATAATGATTTTGGAACTTATCACAATGTCTATTACTCATTAGAAGGCATATATATTCAATTAGGCAATATGCCTTTGGATTTGCAAAAACAATTAAAAAACCATTTCATTGTTGGATTTGTACTATTTGGTGGCTATTTCAATAATGCAATACATTCTCTGATTTAAGAGCTCTATAAATTGAAAAAGGATGTTATAATAAATATAAATAGTAAATTAGTTTGGGTTATTGCCTTAATTAGAATAGTAACAGTTGATTTACTTTAGGTAGAAATGTGTTTAATTTAGTTCAAGCTAATCAAACTATAGTTTAAGATCTAGGAAAGGTTAACTATTTGAAGTTTGTAGTTAAGAGAATTTGCTAGCAAGAATTGTTTAATTAGTTGTATTCAACTAATATAAAAACCATGAATTGGGGTGTGGTAGCTTAGTGAAGTGGTCTAGTCATTACCCCACCAAGTGGCAGGTCTAGAGTTTGAATCTCATAGATGATGTTTTTTGAAAAATAGATTTGTATTAGGTAATGATTATCCATCAATTGGTTGGATCTACAATCTGTAATCTTGGTTGTACCATCTTGTTATGGAAGCTTTGGTGCAGAAATGCCAAGAAACCGGGATGATCGAAACCTGTTTGGGAAGACTCGAGTAAAGAGGTAGTAGATACTTTTGATAGTGCTACAGGAAAGTCAAATTTGGAAGTGATAGCTAAGATTAGAGAACTATACAACAACAAGATCCTTAAGTGGGGAGGATTTACCAATCCTACTACCAATTGGAGAAAAGCTAGCACATCAACCTAGTTAGCCGGTGTGGGAAACCAGGGTGGTCATCCACCATAACTAGGATTTGGGAGCTAGGTTTCATCTAATAACAAGGGCTGGGCGATTTCTGGAGACTAGCCAGACCCAATTAGAAAAAAAGAACATGTGCTATAAAATCATGTACCATAATAAGATAGGGCACAAGGCACCTAGAGCCTAGCTAGAGTCAAATCTTCTGGGTCACAGATTAGGAGTAGAGAAGAGACCAATAAGGCAAGAATGAAAAAAGGAAAACCTGAATATGAGTACTGGGGTTGAAGTAAACCTTACAAGGGTATAGCAGTTCAATTAGATTATACTAAACTGCAAGTGGGAGTCTCAGCAACTGTGATGACTGGGTTAGCCAGATATGGGATATGGAAGGCTCTGGTAGGTTTATCTTGAGGATAGCTGTGTGTCCACTTAATAGAAAAATGCAAGCTGGTAATTAGTCAGTGCAAACCCAGAATAAGTTACGGAAGTCCTAAAGCAAAGTGTGCAATCTAGTAGAACGGGCTATATGGTAGTTTTCAGGTTAGTATAATATGTTAAAAATCATTAGGATCAGAAAGTTTAAATAGGTAACTCCCTAGTTGAGTTATAGGTATGGCATTTAGTGTTGTAAACAGACTACTTAAATAGGCACTTAAAAGGTGCACGTGTGGCTAGTTGTATCTTCATTGTAACTATAATAGTAAATGATTACTAATAAAGAGTCCCTATGGCCAAAGAGGTCACCTTAATACCAAAAAAAAAAATCATGAATTAGATTGTTTTTTTTTTTTATAGAGTTAAACCAATGTTGTTTAGTTTTCAAGCCATGTTTTAAATTAAATTAAATTAATCAAATTGTGCTTATTCTTATTCTAGAGAAATTAACTCAGCAATATTAAAAAACAGAGCATACCAAAACTGTCTCATTCTGAAAGATAGATTAGCTAACACCACCTTTGATAGAATTAGTGCTCGATAAAATCAAACAAAAACTCGATTATCAAGTTTTTGAATCTATTAGTTTACAATATTGTGCATTAAATATAAATTTTATTTTTGGTATATATATAAATTTAACAGGAATCTGATCTTACTTTAGACTTCATAGTAACTAGCATGAAGTTTAAAGTCAGATAAGAGAAAACATAGATTTTATAATTGAAGCACAATACTATAAATTAATAGATTCAAAAACTCGATAATTGAGTTTTTGTTTGATTTTGCTAAGCACTAGATAGAATACATTGCATATGTTTTCATCATGTCACCAAAGAACAATTTATCGAATTACAAACTTTAATAAGCCAAAATTCAACAAAATTAGAGATTAATAATTTTACAAAATGTTATAGTCTTTGACAAAAACTAGGCATTTTGTTTACTTTATCTTAAAACCATTATTTACAGACTCCTTATGACACTTACCATGCAGTTGCTAGCAAGATTCAAAGATTATTAGAATATATTTTTAATTTATTAAATAAAAATGGCAAAAATCAATTTTTAAAATATTGAAGATGGTTTGAAAAGCCCTCTACCTGGCATTGTTTGCCTAATTCTATTACTCATCTTAAAAGTTTTATGTTTTCAGACTCATTACAATTAGCTATGTTAATACTATTTATTTTAAAATATTTTCTAATACCAAGTTATATTGCTTTAAATAATCTTATAGCTTTATATGATTGTTTGTTATCCTCTAATGATCGAAGACAAACCAGCAAACAAATTGTTAATAATATCATCTCATACTAGATAACTGTAGTGAATACCACAGTATATTGTTTTAAAATAAAACTAATTTAAATAATCTGGATCATCTTTAAGATTTACTTGTAGAAGAGCATTGTATGTTAATCGAAGTATTTGTTTATTATTTTTTTTTTTAAAAAAAAAAAAAAACCGCATTTAAGCATACTTTATTTTATTTACAACTTATTATATTTACAATGAGGATTTTATGTATTTTAGTATTTTTTTGGCTGCTGAATTTGGGGCGGATCTAAAACTAGTAGTCTTATATAGAAGTTTAAGCTCATGGTTGACTCTAACTTTTGTGATCTCTGATATTTTGTT